AATCTATTTTTTCACGTGTTCCTGATTTAAACTTTTCCTAAAATGTTGATATAACCTTGATTTTTAGGAGTTTTTTCGAATGAGCTATCAAAAAATATAGAGTCCCGTGCAAAATTTGAGGGTTTTGCCCTGTTGAAACTCAAAACGCGTATGGTTCTTCAATAAAATCTTGTAGATTTTTCAGCGGTTTTTGAGCCCGCGCACATCGTGGGCTCAAATCGAACGTTCAAAAGTAGGCAGCCACCTTAAGGAACGAAATAGCCGTCATCTTGGCAATGTGAAACCCTAAAAACGTCAACTCGACCCAGCTTTTTTCCTCGCCCTCGGAATGGCTAAAAACGTCATAAGTTTAAGTAAATATGGAGATAAAGAGAGTGACTTTTCCCGTGATATACTTCAGGCTATCACGGATCATGAAAGCATGCTTGAAAATCTTGGTAAATAAAGGCAGAAGTTTATACTTACTAGGACTTGATCGCTTTCTCTTGTTACCAGAGGGACCAAAGAGTGGGTCACTTTCCTGGTATAACATTGGTGGGGGAGACGCTTCATTGCGTTGAGAATCATTCATAGTGTTAAAAGCTGGGCATGAAAAAATGAAGGAATATAAGACTGTGAAAATAATGATGATAGCCCTGGCGATGAAGATGCAACAGTGATGATGATGATGACGATAATGATAATAATAATTTAAGGGAAAGAAAGAAACAGCAAAATGGTTGCAATAATAATGATATGCTGGTTAATTAATAAACGGTGATGAAGATGATGGCCGAGGTAATAATGATAATGATGATTATGATTACATGGTATAATTTACACTCGTCATCATCATTGTCATAATTGTCATAATTATTATCATAATAATGACAACAATTATGACAATGATGATGACGATTGTAATAAATTCTAATACCATGTAGCTAAATCTTATAGACTCCTTGCAGCACTTTGGAATGCAGCTCAATCTGGGGAAACAAACAATAGGTTCCAATTCTCAGAAGAGTTAGAATTCTTTTGTTTTCTCCCCCAGAACGCCGAGCTGTTTTGACGTCACATGCAAGGGGTCTATGTGTATTAAATGCTGAGATACTAGAGCAGTTTTCTTATGAGGTCTGTAAAAAGCTTACGGCACAAACACGGTCATGACACGGCAAGGGATACGCCAGACCAATCACATTGCTCGAGAATTTACTCTCCATCCAATCAAATACCAATAAACACGTTGCGGACACAGTGACGCCGAGGTTACCTCACTGTCAGACCAATCACATTACGCGAGAGAGAAAAAAAAAAAAAAAAATCAGCCAATTAAAATTCTAGAAAATATCACGGTCACGGCACGGCACGATTACGGGCACTGCTTTATTTATATTATGTTTACCTTGTCCTGCGGTGCTCTCTGCAGATGGTTCAGATTTCTTTGCGCTTGGTCTTGGTTTTGTTCGAATTCGAAACGTTTTTGACAGAAACGTCTTCTGTGTCCCATCAATCAGCTCAACGTAGATTGCTAATTCCCAGATATTTCTCTCCTCCACTTCAACTCTGTCTAACCAGTACACATAAGAACCATCTTCATTCTTATACACAGAATCCAGGTTAACTGAGAATCTTGTTTTGTTGAAGTCCTCGGAATCAGTTTTTACCGCGGTAACGGGTAGTTCCACAGTGCCTGGGAAGGTCATGAAGATACACTGAACTGAAATAAGCCGAAGTAGTCCCATCCCAAGAGAAAAGTAGAATAACAGGCACAAGAAAGGAAACGGAGGAAGAGGAAAAGAAGGGAAGAGAAGGGCAACAACAACTATAAACCAACACATGACGACAACGAAAACCTGGAGCAGCTTTGTATCAATAACAAAAACGACAAAGACAGCAAAGGAAAAATGGAGAGAAGGGCAACAGCAGCAACAAAAAGAATACAACAACACCGACAAAGTCGCATAAACGAAAGCATAAACGCTTTACCTATTCTGTCATTTGTTTTCAAAGCAGCTTTCTCATTTCTTCTGACGAAAACTCTGACAGCTGAGATCTGTGCCGTTGCTGTAGCAGCCATATTGACGACGCCATTGGCGATGCGTTGCTCGGAACCTTCGGCGGTTTTCTTTTGGACTTTGTCATAAATGTCTTTGAGATCGAACACTTCAAACTGGACGTCTGGTTCAACGGTATAAAGGCTTAGATCTTCAATCTTTTCTTCGTTGGTATCTATGTTAAAAGAAAGACTGCTCAAATTAACATGAAAAACTAGATGCACTCGAACTGAAACATGCGCCCGAATCATTACCCTCTATTTTATCCACAAAAAATCGAACACCAAAAATACTGAACAAACGAACTGGCAACAAATAAACAAACAAACAAATAAACAAACACACCAAAACAAAATAAACAATTCTAATAAAAAATTTCCAAATCTAAAATTTATTAGTAGTATTCATAGTGTGATGGGCGCTCGACCAATCAAATTGCATTATTTTCCCGCCAAAATCGTTCCTCACAGACGCGTGCGCGAGCGTTTGACAAGTTGAATCAAGATGGCGGTAGTGAACAACAACAACAACAAGAAAGAGGGGAATATTTGGTAAATATCTTCAGTTTTGTGCCATATTAATGCAGAAAATTTTATAAAAATTGCAAAGCTATTATCTTTAGACAATAGTTAACCCTCTTGGTGTTGGAAGCTAAGCAAAAAAAGCTAGAAACACGAATTTTCTGACTCAAGTCTTCGCCACGTTATTAGTTTTGGACGTAAGCTTATAATCTTGGATATAAATTACAAAATCTCTTGTTATTTATTTCCCTAAATAGCTAAGAAAAGCTTCAATAGATAGTCTAGCTAAGAAGAAAATTATTTCCAGAAATATTTATATTTTGAATTAACATGAAATAATCAATTTTATTATATAATTACCAATGAAATATCTATTTTTCTCTATTTCGAAAAATTGATATCTTCACACGTGAAAATAATAGTTATTTTCATGTGTGAAAATAACACCATTGCGATGGCTATTCAAAAATACACGGAAAGAATTGCCTGAAAAAGCCAAAACATACTTCATTGATAATTATATAATAAACAGAATATTACATGGGCGCTTGGAGATACGCAATTTATCTTCTCGTGTTGAAAATCTCACACTCGTTCGCTGCGCTCACTCGTGAGAGATCTTTTCAACACTCGAAGATAAATT